ATCAAAACCATAAAACCTAACTTACCAACATGACCTGCAAAGAGGTTAAAAATACATGTTTAGATTTATTTATAGTTTTTATTTTTTTTACTTTATATTTGATCAATTAGTACATTTAGTGCATAACTAAAACTCTATCATTATGTTTGCATATGGCTTTTTTATCTTTTAAATGGTTAGTTGTTCTTTGGTCAGATGCAGCAAAAGAATACATTTTATTTTTGTTTGTTTTCCCAAAAAGACGCACTGACAAAATAAAAGACAAATAACTGGAAAACTGAAATTGTTTTCATTGGATTTTTCTTCATTATATTTTCTTGTCCAGCATCAGAAGTGCATATATAGCCTAGCGTATTATTTATCAGTGCCTCATCAGCAATATTTTTAAGTTCACAAAAAACCTAACAAGAGAGAGACCAGTCATCTCGTGATCTTTCTGAATGATACCCTTGATTCTTCTGGCTCTATTTTAGTTTCTCAAAACCCCTAGTAAAAAAAAAAAAAGCTATGCCATAATTTATTCAAAATACGCTTATTTCATATAAGTATGCTTCAAATCCATTTATTGACATTATGACATATCACTTAAGACTTACTGATATAAATTTATAATAAAACTTATTTGGATTATTTCTTTATTGCACAATACACATTTCTTAATATTATGCCTAATGTGTTTTAATATCATTCTTAATCAGGATTATATGGTCTCTGTATAATATCAGTGTTTAAATGCAAGATAATTAAAAAGTACCTGAAGTATACTTGCAATAGTTCCACTTTAGCACAATCAAATATACTTTAGTAAATCTTTAGTTGGACTTCAGCACTACTTCAACACAATTAAAGTGCATTAAGCACAAAATTAGTTGTTCCAATTTAGCAGACTTTAAGTATACCAGTTTAGTTGACCAAAATCACAATTGCAGGGGATTTTTATTAAGTATGTAAATGCATTTGTATACTTAGCATGAAATAAATGTGTCTCAAATACATTTAGTATACTTTTTCACTAGGGACCTATCTATTTTGTCCAATCTCTTATACATAGTTTTTAAATGAATCAATCCTTGCATCACACAGCTCTGTTATTATTGTGTCTCCCATTCCCGATGTTTCACAATTGAAACCCCACCCACTCTAACTTGTAACAGTATCTATTCATCATGTGTGGTTTCGACGGTCACTGGGAAGAGCTTATGAGGAGAGTACGAGTTTGTTTTTGAGATGTCATTATGATTATGACAGAAGTTTCAGAAGCTTTATGATTCATAGTATCATGATGTCCAACCTCCAAGAGCGAATATTTCCATTGAGTAGCATGGTAACGTGATGTAGTGTATGTGAATGTGATGATAATATCAGTGTACATAAATGAATGCCATTTATTTTTAACATATAAAAAAAAATACAAATAAAAAGTATTTCAAAACTAGTTTCTCACCTGAGTTAATTCTTTATGACATGTTTAAACAAAGAAAAAATATCAAAGACAGACCTTCTCTATCTAAAAAGTTTAAGAAGGTGAAATAAAAAGGGGTAAAGAAAGCAGTAGGGAGAAAAAGAACAAGTCCAGTCTGGCCTTTTCCTCTTTACCAACCTGCCTCTGTCTCATTTCTACCCCACCCATTGCATTCCTCTACAAATGCATCCTCGCATCACACCACCTTCATTAGAGGTAACAGTTTGGTAAGGTGGGAGACTAACTTAAAGAAAAAGCTAAAAGACTTCATCCAAAAACAAGAGGAAACTTGCAGAGAATTTTCTTCAAAGAGCTACAATAAAAGGTAAAGTTCAAACTTTTTACTCTTTGCGAAAAATCGTCTATTAAAACAAACAGTGAGGTTATATAAAAAAAAATCTGAAAATGTTAAATGATTAGTTTAAAAAATATATAATTTAAATCAAATTCAAAATATATTTTATGTGAAATGAAAAAATAAATAAGTAGAAAAAAGTAAAGCAATAAATCAGACAGCTTACATGAGGTTACAGGGTGGTGCCTTTTTGTTTTCAGACTTCAACTATTTTGAAGACCTCGCAGATATCAATGTTTAGAAGGACATTAACTCTATTATTTGTTAGGTGTATGACATTGTTAATATTTATCATGTTGCCTTTGTATGTAACAACACATATAATTCATTACATATTACAACATTTCTTGAAGCATGTCATATTGTAAAGTGTTGGGATTCACAATGGACTTCTATCTGTTTGTTCATGTGTTATGTTAGAATATTACTGGCCTGAATCCTGGACAGCATGCAGACAAAAAAAAAGCTAAATTCCTCACTCATTCATGAGCAGAATTATCATTGCGTAGACGGAAAGAATACAATTTTGGAGGAGCCGGACAGCATGTTAATCGCTCAGAGAGCTGCTGAATGATTCACCGTCAACTAAAAACAGCCACAATTACCGTTAGTCATTTAGCTGGTGCCCACGCACCACCTGGTCACCTTCTCTAGCTCCTCACCGATCCATTGCGCTTTGTTAGCGCTGAGTAGGAAGACAATGCAGTGCACTATAGTGGACTACAGGGTCTTACGTGCAGTCCAGTGAGTCCACACATTCTAACAGTAGATTTATGAATCAGCCACGAGCAAACCCTGAGGAGATACAAGAGAAGTTCAGTGAGAAAGCCACAGGCATTCGGGGGCGAGTGTACAAAAAACGAGCAGTTCACTGAAAAGATACTCAGTGTTTATTATTAAAGAATAGAATAGAATAGAACACGCGGTACCTGAGACCCCTCTCAGGGAGTGGCAGTTACGTAACAAATGTAGCTAAAAGCAGATTTTAGGACCTGTTGAGACTTGAGGCTTGCTTCATGGTGTGGGTTTTCTTAGAGATGTTGTTTTTTCCCCCCGCTTCAGCCCTGAGATATAAATTCCTGTATGGACCTGTCTAAAGGGAGGAGCCATTGAGTTTATGTGCAAATGCATAAGAACTAGTTTAGAATATGCCTTACAAAATATACCATGACGCAAACAGGAAGGATTCAAAACCACTAGCCTACTGCTTTTGCAGAGTGTGCATTTTTTCTTTGTTTGCTTTACTTTTAGTTTTAACACTATTTCCAAACTGAGGGCATCAATCATATTTTTCTAATGTATAATTATTATTTAATCTCCTTTATTCTTCTTTCAGAATGGGCTCGTCTGGTGTACAGATCGTGTGTATGGCACTGGGAATTTTAGGTCTCATTGCAGCGGTTGTGACCATTGCTGTTCCAAGATGGAAGGTTTCTGCTTTTATTGGTCAGAACATTATCACTGCACAGGTAAACCATTACTGCAATTTCAAAAAGTTCAATTCAAAGAATAAATGTGTATGGTTGTGCAGTGCACAGATATAAAACTTCATCATAATTTGTGACCCTGGAGCACAAAACAAGTCTTAAGTCGCTGGGGTATATTTGTAGCAATAGTCAAAAATACACTGTATGGGTCAAAATTATTGATTTTTCTTTTATGCCAAAAATCATTAGGATATTAAGTAAATATCATGTTCCATTAAGATATTTAGTAAATGTCCTACTGTAAATATATCCAAAGTCCAAACTTAATTTTTGATTAGTAATATGCACTGCTAAGAACTTCATTTGGACAAATTTAAAGGCAATTTTCTCAATATTTTGATTTTTTTGCACCCTCAGATTCCAGATTTTCAAATAGTTGTATCTCGACCAAATATTGTGCTATCCTAACAAACCATACATCAATGGAAAGCTGATTTATTCAGCTTTCATATGATGTATACATCTCAATTTCGAAATTGACCCTTGTGACTGGTTTTGTGGTCCAGGGTCACATTTATTCATATTATTTCCAAAACTGCAAAGTCATTTCATGTTCCACGGTAGAAAGAAAATTCTTTAAAGGATGCTGATTAAATTCTATGGATAAGAAGGTATATTTCATATTTTTCCTTTGCCGCACAGGTTCAGGAAGAGGGCTTGTGGATGGAGTGTGTGGTTCAGAGTACCGGGCAGCAGCAGTGTAAAGCTTACGACTCGCTGCTCATCCTGGGCTCTGCCCTCCAAGCGGCCCGTGCCATGACCATCATCGGCTGCATGCTCACTGTCCTGTCCCTGCTCGTTCTGTGCGCCGGCGCCGACTTCACCACCTGCATCGACAACGAAGAAGTCAAACCCAAAGTGAGTCTGGTGTCCGCCATTGGGCTGATCCTCGCCGGCTTGTTGCTGATCATCCCCGTCAGCTGGGCCGCTCATAATGTCGTGCGCGACTTCAACGATCCACTGGTAGCCCAATCTCAGAAGAGAGAGCTGGGAGCCTGTATCTTTGTGGGCTGGGGAGGAGGAGTCCTGCTCCTGCTGGCCGGAGGCTTGCTGTGCTGCTTCAGCAGACCCCGCTCCGGGGGATCCGGCGGAGCCGCCAAATACTACAGCAACAGCGCCTCTGCACCAAGCAAGAATTATGTGTAGATCAATTGGGTTAAACTAAGCAGTGGTCGCAGAAATTGAAGTTGTAGTATGTGAAATATGTCTATGTTAGTCTTTATAATTTGTAGGTAATGAGAATAACATAAAGGTCAAGATCTGCAAAGATGTAAATATTACTATATTGTTTAGAGCTACTGTCATAGAAAAGCATAGTCTTTAAGCTTTTAAATTAGTTTAATATGGTAATAAACAATGTACTTGTTTATTAAAATTCAGGGATGGGCCGAGCTTGTGTCCAAAATACTTTCATGTCATTTTATCAGTGCCAGTCCTTGTCCTTTCAATAATGCTACTGAATAACTGAATAACTGAAAATTATTTTTGAGTAATACAGAACAGATATTTTTTCGAGAACTTTTTAGGATACGGGAATCTACTGTAATCTGTACAAATGCTACACAATTGTGTGTGTGTGTGTGTTAGGTCATAATCATTTCTGTTGCCTCTCTGTATTTTCAATAAAACTGACTGATTTAAGACATCCGTGTGTGTAGAATGAACAATGAGTTTTTGACACACAAGTAAATCTTTGTTAAAATAACACTGGCATTTATTTCAAATCCTACAAAACATATATTAAAATGGGCTTCAAACAAATCTGGTCACATTAAAAATTCTAAAACAAATTTAAAAAAAGGAAATCTCTGAAGAGCAAAATTTGGTCTGAAATGGACTGTAAAATGGTATCCCATGAAAACATTTCACATAATTCTACAAAATGTTCTTTCCAATGTACACTTTTTACGACTTCATTATTTGCATATCTTGTACATGTCCATTTGCATTTTTCTTTTCATTCTACTGGGGTCTCTCTTCAGCTACTTGCTCTCCAGTTCGCTCACTTGCTGGGTCAACTGCTCAATCATCTCTCTCAGCTCCTTCACCTCATTCTGCAAGGCCTGCAAGGTCTGCACGTCCTGTATATGAAACAGAAAGAAAGGCAGAATGAGTTTATTTGTGACAGAAAGGTTCATTAAAACACAGTAAACAGGCAGAGGATTCCTGTGTTCTCTTACCGCACTGTCAGACTGTCGGTTGCTCGAGGAAGATGATGTGGTGGCCATCAAGCTCCTGATGACTTTGAACTCTTTGTTTTTGGTGGTAGCCACAAAACCGTCTTTCAAGGAGATCAGAATTGGTTCCCCATTTTTACCAGAAAACCAATCATCTGCCTCCACTGATGGCTCTGGACCAATCGTGTCGGGGTAAAGGTCTTCTTGAAACAAGTCAGACTAAAGCAAAGAAATGATAATGCTGGATTAAGACAGTGGAACAAATAAGCAGCACTTAATAAACAAAGTGGCATTAATAGACTACCATTCAAAAAACTTGGGGGCGGTACAGTTTTTTTATGTTTTTGAAAGAAGTGAGTACAGTAAAACAGTAACATTGTTAAATATTGTTCCAGTTTGAAAATAACTATTTTCCAATTTTAACATATTTTAAAATGCAATTTATTCCTGTGATGGCAAAGCTGTATTTTCAGCGTCATTACTCCAGTCTTCAGTGTCACATGATCCTTCAGAAATCATTCTAATATGCTGATTTGCTGCTCAAAAAAAAATAATTCTTAGTATTATCGATCCTGAAAACAATTTCGCAGCTTAATATTTTTGAGGAAACTGTGATACTTTTAAGGATTATTTGATAAATAGTTGAAGTGAACATCATTTATCTGAAATATAAATCTTTTGTAACATTATAAATATCTTTACTGTCACGTTTGACCAATTTAATGTTTTATAAACCTGTTAGTTTCTTTCAAACAAAAAACTCTAACTGACCACAAACCTTTGACAACATTTAAAATGATCGTTGACTTTGACAAGCTTACCTTACGAGGCACAGTCATAACAATAGGTTCACACTTTCTCTCGTGGAGTTTATAGAACCTAAAAGAAATATGAAATAATGCAGAATTTAAAATACTGACATTTTTGTATGTTTGTGGGAGAAAGCAAGTACACTATAGGCCTGGCTGAAAGGCTGGATGTGTTTACCTTGCAATCTCACACTTGTTGACTTCCAGGCCTCTCTTGGGCATGTAGCCCATGCCCTTCTGACTCTCTTTACTGCTGTACATGGAGAGATAGTGAACGTATGGGGCCTCGTCTGTCACCTCAAAGTATCTGATGCTGCTGTCACCCTGTCAAACCATATACACTGGCTAAAACATCCAACTTCATGAACAAACAACTCTTCATGGCCATAAAATCTAAACTTGGTTCAAAACTTGAATGTCTTTCTTAGTTCCTTACCTTGCCACAAAGGTAGACTATACCAGTGTCAGGGTCAAAGAAAGGTAACAGCACCCCACTGCTGGTGTCCAGCTCCTGCAGGGTCAACGGCTCACCAAAGTTTTTCTGCAACCACAAAAACACTTGTGGTCACTTACTTGTGAAACTACAGTAGTCAATATTCGAAGTGGATCAAAAACTTTCATCAAAGTTGTCCTAAAACCAAAATGCGTTCTTGTCTTAGGGCAACTTTGATGAACTTTTCTGATCCACTACAAATGTTGACTACTATAAAAAAAGAGAGAGCTTCTGAAGCACAAGATGTACTCACAGGATCCCACAGCGCCACCTGTCTCTCACTCATGCGGCTGAAACCGGTGGTCAGGATCTTCCCATCAGACACAAACACAGCTCTGACTGGTCTGGAGCCTTCATGAGGCTTGTCCTTCTCCTGAAACAAACATGTACACAGAAAGAAGTCATATGAGCAGCGCCAAATCACATGACAGTAAATGAGCTAGCAGAAAGGAACGTATAAGAAAGAGAAATGTTCACAATTTTAATTAAATGCTTTCACTGAACTTAAAATGTTCAAATTAAGACAGAAATGTGGCCCCATTTACTGTTTTTAGCGAATTTTCACCAGCAAAATCCAGCTGTTTAAAAAAAATCAATATAATTGGGATTTCGCAGCAGGTTCAATTTGGTCACGAGGATTCACCGCATTTTTTTTTTGTCTGCGAAATTTTGTTATTGTGTTTGCATTTTAAGAAAATGTTAAATTAATATCAACTTAAAGGATTTTCTGTTATTTCCAATGGCTTTAAATTATTCAGTATTATGTGCTCCAGCTAGAGTTTTCTGAATACTCACATGATCATTCAAACACACACACACACACACTAAAATGCCTTAAAATTGCCTCAAGACTACATGAAACCCAACCATCTTAAAAAACGGATCTTTTAAGTACAGCAACAAGTGCATCCTGACACCACAAGACAAAAACTTTCTGGATGCGACAACAAAATCAATGTGGCGAACGGTAAACAACGTAACCATATGAATTATTTATACCCCATGCATTCTTTTTTTTTAGCATTATTCACACTATTTTATCATTTCTTTCCAGTGAAGGCATACACGTACACAGATGACGGAGCCCTTGCGGGGGTCTAACACGCGTAATTTCTTGTCCTTGCAGGAAGTGAGGATCTGAGAGCCGTTTCTGTTCCAGCAGGCGCTGTAGATCAGATCAGTGTGCACTGAGTCAATGCGCACCACTGCCTCTCCGTGAACCACGTTCCACAGGATGACCACGTTATCACAGCCTTCAAGAAGAAAACGAGAGAAAGAGAGGGACTAGGTAAATAAAGAATATATGTAGACAGAGGGGGAGAAAGGAAAACAAAATCATGTCAAATTTATGATAACCCGAAGATGTTAAGAAGATGTGTGTGTGAAGAATCAGCAGATGGCGCCATCAATTGCCTCTATATAGCACAACTGGGTGCATACATATATAGGTGTAGTTCTAGCCTGCACTTTTGGCTATTGAGTGGGTGTCTTATGTTGGTTTACCTGCACTCATTAGCACATTGTGGGCAGTGGGGTGCCAGCTGAGGATGCCCACGCGTTTAGAGTGACCGTCCAGCTTCACAACTGGGTCCTTCAGTGGTGATATGAGACCTCCATCTGGAATCTCCCAGATCTATTAGATGACAACATTGACCTTATGTTATAATAAGTAGTATGAGCTAGACTTGCCGCAGTATTATATTTTTCACAGCAGTACGGTAGCTGTGTTCAAACGGTAATATACCAGTATTACCGCTTGTTGTATGCTAGGTGGTGCTAAGGGGTCATTTTTGCTGTGCAATTGGGGTTCTCAAGGGGCTCACAGGGGTCCCCAAACTTTTTTGTAAGCCGAACCCCTTAGAAGTAAAACGTTCACTTGAAGCACCCCCTGAGAATAAATAAATTAAATTTCAATAAATTAAAAACAAATTTGCATGCTCACGGTTCTCTGATGTCACATAGCATGCCATGCAAGTAAACATAAAACATTTAATCTATTTTTGAGTGTGCTATTTCCGTTGTTTTCATTTTAAAACTCTAGAGAACTACACAACTTACAATAAAAAATTATATTGCAATTTAATAATATATATTGTTTATTATTATTTAATAATAATAATACATTTATTCATATATATTATTCATTTATTTGTTTGTAAATTGTATTTTAATGCAATTTAAAAATAAAGAAAGTTAAATTATTAACTCACACAGTTAAAACATTAAACATGTTTCTCATGTATGAAAAGTATCTGTAGATATGAGAGTGTCCACATGAGCGTTATTTAAGCATATTCTATTCGTTATGGGATATATGAACTGTTGTGGATAAGTAAAGTTCATTAATAAGTTTCCCCCTTTAAACCGGCATAAATTTCCATACCAGCAGCACACTAGCAAGCCTAGTATGACTTGTTTTGTACACATAATTTGATCAGTTAAGTAATTAATTTATTATTGATTACATTTATTTTGTTTATGATCATGTGGATGGCACTGGGCAGAGAACTGTGAATTATACTAGCATTTTCACTTTAGTATGACTTCTGTTCAACTGTTTTGGTGCATAAATGTAATTTGATCAAACCATTGAGCCAAAGGCACTCACCATCACACTACAGTCTTCAGAGCCACTGGCAATGATGTTGTCATTATGTGGGCAGAATTCGATGTCCAATACGGGTCCAGTGTGACCACAGACAGTGGGCAGGGACATGTCAATGCGACCCGTCTAAAACACAAATCAAAGGGGCTAAAAAAATGAGCTATTAAGGAAAACATTGGTATGGAGTGGAAAACATAAACATACACAAATAAACCCATTAACAAGACCTCCAAATGACTAAATATAGAATATCAACTCAAAACCTCTATTGCTCTGACAAACAGAGCAGAAAGAGCATGAGAGATCTCAGACAGAGGAGGGGGGCTTTGTCAGCTGATCTCAATTTTACAGCTATGCCTTCAATTATGCCTAATAACTACTAACCCGTTTAGAGAGGACAGCACTGTGCAGAAGTTCCCATCATGCACATGGAGAGCACTTTCACTCTGCCAAAGTCATATTGTTAAATGTGAGTGTTGTGTGCAATCTATAAATTATTATTGCAATAAGTTAGGGGCTGCAATAAGTTAAGAAATACTACAGTGATTTATGACGGGACTAAAGCATTGTTGTTCTTAACTTAAACTAAAACCATTAAAAACCACTGTTAATTTGAAATACAGCTCAAAAAAAATTTGAAATGTTGCCTTCGCAACTAACTGAAAATAACTCAAATTACTAACAGTGAAATAACAATATTTTTTTAGATACATTTTAAACAAATGTAACTAATAAATTAAAACTAAATACAAATATTAAAAATGAATAAAAACAAAACAAAAAACTTGTTTTGTTGACTAAAACTTGAATTCAAATACTGAAAATATAAAATTAAAGCTAATTCAAAATAAGAATAAATAATATATAATTATATAAAAATAAAACTAGTCTAAAGATAATTGAATCATTGTCAGATCAAGTGACTGGGGACTGAATTAAGTTCTTAAGTTCAAACAGATTAATCTTTTACAAAAGAGTCTTACTTCTGGTACAATGGGGTCCAAATGTTTGAGATCTAATTTAATACAAGAATACAAATTACAAATTACATTATCAGCATGACAACTTGAGCTAAAAGTGTACTTAAAAAAAAAAAATGTATGTCAGTATTTCTATAGTATCATGCACCCCTTTACTGACATGTGTAAACTCCACAAGTTTGTGCAAAACCAGATGATCATGTTATCAGTCTCAAAATGCAGCTTTCAAAACTTCCTCAAGCCACCCAAACGAAATAAAAGGGCTTGACTCGAATTCTCGTGTTCATTGGGAAACAATGGCTGGCATTGAGCAAAGCACAGAGTGTAAGATGCACAGCAGATTGAATATGACAGAACTCCCATTCATTCTCTAGTATAAGACCCAGGAGCGCAGACAGAGCAACATATAGAAACAGAGGACCAGAGATGATGGACAGAGAAGATGAAAATAAAAGGCATATGAAATAAATTATACAACCCCAAAAGAAAGAGGAAGGCAAGAAAATGTTTCCACCATCTCTCTGTAAGAGATGCAAACATCCTCTGCTAATTTTTGAAAGGCATTTTGAAAACGTAGCATTTTTCAGTCAAAGTTTTGTGAAGTAAAAAGTACATATTCAAATTTTAAACCAAGCTGATCACACGAAAAAGGCAGGCACATCAAGCCTAAGTGGCAGCTGTCCTTTTCTCACAGTTTTTGTCACTCACTCTGCAAGCTGTCACCACATCCTGTGCAGAGCTGACAGCAGCGCACTCCAAATATGGCAAAAACAAGACGCAAGAGCGCATAAAGAGAAGAGATGGTGACACGTACAAATGAAACTCAACCTTCAACTTCCTTATTTAGACAAACATATCTACAGTTCACAATTCAAAGGCCTCTGAAGATCATTTAAAACAGGTAACGGCTTGAAAATATCAAGACCTAAACCTAAACCTAAACTTAATCTTAATATTGGCGTGCATACAACACTGCCCTTCATCCAAGGCTTGTTTTATAAAGATTTCAATTAATTTGAGCTTAATGAGTCTGACATGCTATCTGGATGCACCTTGCTCAGGGGCAGGACAATGAAAGCTCCTCCACCGCTGGCATCCACAATCATGGCCACAAACTTGGGGTTGACCGAGCAGAAGTTGCTGTCCCAGGTCATCTGGGAGATCCTGATGTCATCATAGCACTGGTCCGCCTTCAGCGCCTGGCCGAAGACGTGGCGGAACTTACTGGACCTGACCACCTTCCTAGACATGATGACCTGAGGAGAGACAGAGAAGGAAGAGAAACAGGGTTGGAGAGGAAACAAAGCATACACATGAGAAACAATAATATAGCTTTCATCATCATTTCGTTTTGTGTAACTTATAGGCTACATGATTCATTGAATTGAAGCTTTTGTTGTTGTTGAGGTTTAGCTATTTGTGGTGAAACTGGCTGACTCCATTCCAGCAATCGATGGTGATCTTAACTCATTGCTGTGGTCCGTATGCTTGCACTCAAGTTGTATTCTTCAATTAATTCCTGCATTCTCTTAAATTTGCATGAATTCTTGTAAATGAATAGTTACAGATAAGAGACCAAAGGGGTGAAAACGAAAGAGAACGTTTCCGCTCAACGTCTTTTTCAACTTTCTATGTTTAAAACTGCATTTAGGCAATAAGCTCAAAGAAAGAGGAAGGAAAAAGGAAACTAGCATGAAGTGACAGAGAAGGAAATGCTCGGTCTACTTCTTCAAGTCTTGATGCCACTTTATCTGCAGGTTTTAGTAATAAAGCATTTTGCTTCGTGCCCCCTTCTCATCTATTTCGCTCTCTGTTGCCCATTTTTCCCCTTATCATCCCTATATCAAATGCACTTGTGCATATGCTTAATTAGTTGACTAACAAATGTCACTCTCACTTGCAATGCATCATACCCTGTATGCTCACAGCACTCAGTAAAATAACCAGAAAAATGAAAGGTGCATTACAGCATTAAATGGACTGAGAGAGGAAACTGTCGTTACTGGACTAACACCACAGCAAGTGTGGGAGCGCAGGAGATGTTCAGAACTTCAGTTACACCACATCCTTCCACACAAACATGGAATCACTGAGTTATTTCTACCTGCTTCGGAGATACTGCAAAACGTTTTCATCATGATATAAAACAGCTAATCCAGTTAATGTATCACAGTAGTTGTTATATTCAAAGTGGATGGAAAAGAAGTACAGTAACTAACTGCAGGTTGTTCTAAACCTGTGACTTTTTTCTTGTTTGGAACACAAATGGAGCTTTTGGGCAGAGCGTCAACCTCAGCCAGTCCTTTTCATTCATGTATTTTTTTCATCCAACGAAAGTGAATGTGACAGAGATATATTCAGTCTAACATCTTTCATGTTCACCGGAAGAAAGTAAGTCATGCAGGTTTGGAACGACATGAAGGTGAGAAAGTACAATGACAGAATTTTCATTTTTGCCAGAGCTAATTCTTCAAGTTTTATTATTATTAGCCTACTACTATTATGTTGGCTTGAAATATTTGTTTACATTGCTTTATCCTTTGTCTGCATTTCTTCCAAGCTCATTTAAGATACAAGAGCAAACTCCTATATAGTCTGCACTATTTTTTTATACAATAATATGCAGGACTCAAGTTATATCAGCTTCATCTTTATCTGGAAATACTGTTTAGTTCTCTTACTAAACTTCCTCATATTTAACCGTGCCTTGCCACAGTTCAGAAAGGCACAGCTCGACGCATTTAGCAATGGAAAAATATTAACATAAATACAGTACTAAACTGAGTACAAACTGGATGTATTATGAACGAGCCGCAGATTAGGGCTGTGTTTCGAAATCTGCTTATCTAAACAGCATTTTGGGCTGTACAGAAGCGTTTAGGCGCGCCCAATGTGCTGTCTAGTTAGTCAGCTCACTAGGTCGCAGATAAAGATGCAAAGTTATGAAGTGTTTCCAATCACAGCAGCACAACACACAAACACGCAGTATGATCGGACAGGGGGACTGTACCTGAGAACTGTGGCTGGGGAGGGACTCTGGCTCCTGAGGCGAGAGGATGAAGCGCTGGACGCTGACAGATGGAGAGGAGTGGGTGAATGCCAGCAGTTGTGGCCACAGCTTACTCTAAATCAAGGAGGAAGTGAGAGTTTGAGATGTAGATGCGAATGGGAGGTGTCCTCGCTTTATGTTTCCTTTTAAAGTGATTTACGTTGCGTGAAGCTGCTCCTAGTCCTCACAACTTCATCGTGGTCATAGCAACACAGACGTGACGTGAGCTCGGTAGACATGTTAATCTGAACGTTATCTCTCTTGAACTTTTCTGTATTCACACTCAAATTTCCTACGCTTTCTTTTGTAACAATAGGGAACTAAACACTAAAGCAGTGAAATGCAGCATTAAAGCAAATGCCTTTAACTTAAAAAATTACCACGACAACCATATTTTCCGCCAAAATGTCGTAGTATTGTTAAAACACTTTGGTAGCATTAGCCACCACTTTTTTTTCCATCCTAAATAAATAAAAATTGTGAAATCTTCTTCGACTGTTTGAAAGAGGTTAATTTATTTGTTTTGTCATGTTTTTACAGTATGTAGTTTGGTGGAAACTAGTTCACCATTTATAACCTTTTTACCCTAAAATGACAATATTTGGGTTTGATAATTTTATTTATTTACTATGTTTTTTTCGACAAGAAGTGCCCTTTTCACATTCGATTGAATGCCTCAATTAAGGCAACCCTAATTTTCACATTTCAATTTCTATTTTTATTGGAACAATAATCCGATTAATTATTCTCCAGGAATAAAGTTTTACGGGTTAGGGTTCATTTCTCAAAAGTGACCAATTTAATAAATAGAGGAATATAATACAAAATATTTTTTAAACACCCCCAGTCTCACAAGCACTTCACTACACCATGTGAGAATAAACAGGCAAACAGAAGTGGAGGTCAAAATATAAAAGCATTTCATCAACAGTCCTATTTTAAATCATTTAAAAAATAAAGGAAGTCAAAAGAGACCATTTAAAAATATAAACCTCAATTTATTGCACAATTGCTGCAGGAGACCGTGGGGTTTGGAAGATCTGTCTTGTGTGAACACATGTAACTGTGGACACACAAATAGACTGAGAGAGAAATATAGGCCCATAAAACAAACCAACAGAGACACACGCTTGTAGATAATAATAAAAAAAATAATTTACAACAAGAAATGTTTATGTAAAACCAAAGTTATAGTAAATTTTGCAATAAATAAGTTGAGGACACCTGATAAAACAACAAAAACAAAGATATACGGCCAGCAGGGCTCAGTGCTTGACCTGTGACAGACTTCATCCAGAAGGTCAACACGGTTTAACTGAACATCATTTATGCTGCTACCGACTCATAAGAGTCAATAGAGCGCTGTGGCCCCCAGATGGTGCCAAACAACAACCAAATTCTACAAAAACACACAAGCAGGAGCGGAAACAAAAAACGACAGATCTTTCAGAGACCTCCCGTCTTCCTATGTGCATTAGTATTCTCAGCCTTTGTACTTAAATTAAGATTATCACTGATAGTGGTAACCCATCTCAGAATAATAGTAATAATAACAATATATCCATTATCATAATAATGCAAAATGTAACTAATGATGAGTAGTTTTTAAATGATCATTAACAGGCTATCCAGCACCTGCATACTAAGAAAAAAAAAAAAAAAGTTATTATAGTTTCATACATCATGTCATTATTTTTTACCACGGGACATTAGAATATACAGACAGGAGAACATCATCCATGAGAATATCATCCTTGTTCCTCCTCTAAAACATGGGTTATGATGCAATCCATTTCCTTTAGGGCTCAATGTAACATGCTCTGCACATTCTCACATCACCTAACTAACTACATGAATAAACACATTCTTGATCAGCATTTACGGACACATTCGGCCCCACGAAGGCAATATGCATCAAGAAGGATGCACAGTCCAAATGCCTGATGACTGACAAGCCATCGCGACCTTTGCCCTTAAAAACATACAACTGTCATCATTTTTTTCAGTCTTCGATTTTAACCAGAACAAGCAAATGAGACATGACAGGATGAAAAGAAAACTGGCCCGAAATCAGTTGTTGAGGTCACTCGGTACAAGTGAGCACTGACAGGGCACCCTGAGAAGAGGAAACCCCAGGATGGCATGGTCTGAGCAAAACATGTCAGTGTGAACACACAGATCTGTTTCTTTTCAGGACTGGTAAAACATCTTGTTTTTGGAATTCACATGTACAAACATGTTTGTGTATACATATATATTTATGTACATATTTCGATTATGCATAGTTATCCAGTGGGTTTCAGAGGTAATAACAAACCAAAACATCTGTATGCCTCTCTGTACTTTTCATAATGTAAAAAAGAGATTTTACCAACCGAACTATATTACAATCCCTTCTAAACAGCTTAAAAACCAAAGACCGTGTTAATGACATTATGACATCATAGTAGTACAGACATATAATTATGACGTTAACCTTACTAAATAATCTAACAGCATTGTTAACTCCTCTGCCAGGCCTGTCGTTGCGATGTCACAATTTTAGCTTTTTTACAGTTACAGAATGATCAAACCACTGCTGCCTTTGAAATGAAATCGGACAATAAATATTGAGTGTCGCTCTCTGAGATGAAATACGTTAACATTCAATATATTTTCTTATAACATTGTTGCTTTGTATATTAATATGAATATATAAAAATGTCAGTATGTATGCCACTTGCATTTTATGCATATACAGTCTACATACAGGTATTTACGTTACCTATATGGACTTTTAAGTTCTTAATTGGTTTTCACTTTGATCCAAAGCCCTTTTGGTAAAAAAAATAAACAGTGCAGTTAATTACTTGATATGGTTGTATTGCCTCTGGGCTGCTCTCTTGATTTCATTCCGTTTCTAAAGACAGATATTTTTGATGCATTCGCTCTGTTACTGCACATTAAGCACATACGTCAGTGGTTGCATTGCACAAGCATTAGAAATCGCATGTTGTGTTTTAAGGGGATTGGTTTACTAGTACTTACATGCACCACTTGATTGAAGAGTCTAATGTTTATCATTTAATAGCATTAAAGGGGTTGGGGTAAACCTTCCCCAATTCTGAGGGACTAGTGGTTTGTTTTTAAAACCCCCCTGGGTTGCTAAGATCAGGACCGTCGCCCTCGACACCCGAGGTCCTAAAACATCTAATTTGGCATAGAGTATGTGTAAGTGTTTGTCAGATACAGCTAAGCAACATTCTACCTAACATGCACTGATTCTACACTAATAGGTCTGATCTCTGCTAGACGATATTAGAGTACTGTGGTTGTGTAAAGATATGTGATCCCCAACTGGTTAAAATAATATATATATATTAAATAAATACAGTAGTAATAGCAATTCAAATAAAATATCTTCAAACATTGCCAAATGTCAAAATAACGTCTTAAATATAATAAATATAATGCCAAGGATATGGATAGAGAGGTTAATTGAAATAAAAGGCAGGCCTCACTGATGTTTATTCTAAAAGCTATATTGTGATAGTGTCAGTGAATCTATCACATCGTGTTGTTTGTTTGTCAGTTCTTTAAAACTAGCGAGGATGGAAGGGTTAAAAGAGTCATCCTTGGTTTGTTCCGCTCAGTACTGCATAAGCGTGCTAAACGAACAAATCCAAATGTGCAAAAACAGCATAATACAGCCCATTTGGAACAATGTGAACATCTCCATAGTGCAATCTGCAATCAATAGAACTGTTTTAGTTTACATTAATCACATTCTAAAGTAGATATAAAGGAGACTTGATTGTTCAGCTTTAGTCACTGTAAACAACTCTGTTAAACCTGGAGTCTTTTGGCAACTTTTCTTAAATCAGAGGGGTCATTATGAATTATATCCAATCAAGTTCATCCCACTACTAGGGACTTAGATAATCTGTATATATATATAGCATTAATTTGGCACAAGTGAACAGTACCAATATTCCCCTAATCTTCATTGGGGAATTCATAGTGTATTGGCATGTGTAATATTGCTCCATTCTGGAGTCTAATATTCATCTGCCACATCTGATGAGCGGGAACATCGGGTGCACAGTGGACGAGGATGGCCAGCAGAGAATTAAAGCCTTTGTGCAAACAGCACACCATTAAGAAAATAATTTGCCTTGTCTTGAATCCAAGGTTACATAGATAATTGAGGTTAAAGGTCAGAATGAAATCTAATTTAGAGCGGTACAAAATCCAATCTTCCAAACTACAGATTAGGATATTAAAATCGTTAGTGTACAAGGCTGAATTGACTGTTCAGCGGCACAGCAGAGAAAATATCTTCTGCAGGTAACGTAAAATGCTTCCCAGGGTATTATTAAAGTCATGCTCCTGCAAAAACAGCATTGAATAAATGCCCCTTAGATGTTAACAAACATGATCAAAGTCACATAGGGCACTAAAAAATAAAACGGGCACTCAGCACCTTTAACCAGCCAGTAAACGTATAATTGGCAAGGCTGCAAACCAAGGAATGACCCCTTCACCCTTCGCTTGCTTACAGGTATCAGGGTGAGAATGCGGAAAATGTGGACCTGAACAGGGAGATGAGAAAAAAAGTGTGATAAAACAAATAAAATCAACTCAAGTATTTCCAGTAAATGTTGCTGTGAGACTGGGCATACAGTACGTACGTGTGTGTGTGTGTGTGTGTGTGTGTGTGTGGGGTGTTAGATGTAACATCTTATATGCTGCATAGTCTGCAATAGAGTAATAAGTTGAAAGTTGGAGGTGCATACATCAGTTCTGCACCGGTGATCTTTGTTTGTCACCAGCAAAACTGAGAATAGAGACAAACTATAATTAGTTTTCATAAAAGCCATGCTATTTTGTGCAATGAATTTTAATTTTACGCGATACGTTAAATCTTACTTTTCAAGAGCCAATCATTTGAGGGCTCGATCACGTCTCTTAAACTAAATTTAGAGGTTATTTATTAAATGCTTTAAACGCTGGTGAACACATGACATCAAATAATGTCAGACCCCATATGTGCGTGTGTGTGCGCCTATAGAATGTGTAGGTCTCAAACCAAAAAAAAAAAAAGAAATATAAATTGCCTTTGTTTGAGCTAGCAGGTCTAAACAGTGCCATGCACAGACAATGTTTACGCAAACGCAGATATGCACATTCTGGCTACTGACGGCACAAACAAGCATGTGTGTCAAAGCTGGCACTGGTGTCTCCTAAAAAACATGTAAAACACTTCTTATGGACTTTCGTGCACATAGTTATATACAAAGCACAACAGCCTCCTCCCTCCCCAAACCATTCTTTGCCCAATTATGTCGCATTCCCAAACATCTCATTACTAAAAGAGGTCCTCACGCCCTATTACCCATGATTCCAGACTAGCAGGGGCCACTATCAGTCTGAGGGACAGTGATACGTGTTGATCCACAGTAAGTCGTCCAGCACCCCCCAGTGTAGGTACAGTATGGACACCACCACCAGCACGTGCATGATCTGATGGCTGTTGCACCAGTAGTCAAAGAGGCCCGGGCAGAACCGCTCGGGGATTCGCGTGATATTGATGACACCACCCAACACCGCTAGTGCATCCATGGTGAGAAAGTGACGCAGTGAGGTGGGACTTCCTCCGCCCACACCTACCCCACGCAGAAGGAAAAACGAGAAGCGGAAAAGCGCCTGCCAGGCGAAGGAACGCAGACGGCGCACTCTGCTGCACGCTGTGATGGCACAGTAGATGCCGTAACTGGAGAGCAGGATGTACATCAGCAGAGCCACTGTGCGGGTGAAGGGGTAGCAGAGAAGAGTGCTGTACACGATAGGCAGGGCTCCTGTGAACCGAAACACAGTGTTACTAAGATGACTAGTATAACTGTACAGCTCACGTCATTCAAGTATGTTTGGTGAGCAGATACGAAATTCCACAAAAAAGGGTGGATTGCTTTATGGCAGCAACAAATGCATGTGTGCAGCTACCCACTGTAATCACGACAGTGAATTCCACTCACTTAAGTGTACAGGGCTCCAAAGTCGCAAAAATACACAAAACTACATATAGTTGCTGTAACGCATTTGCTTACCAATGTACATTGTAAAAAAAAATTCTGATATATATATATTTTTTCTGATATAATTACAATGTATCCGCCTACTTAACCAAAATCTGCACACAAAAAAAGGTAAACTAGAAGGCTACGTAAATCATAGACGGTGCACAGTTTGTGCTATACACACACACTAAACTAAAAAACAACCTAATTGATAACAAAAATATTAAGAAACTATGTAAATAAATAAAAACTACAATATATTTAGAGGGGATGTGTCATGCACAAACTTATGGGGATGTCCTTTACATGTTTCATTATAAACAGTAAGCTGACTTACATAAAAATGCAATAAATAAATGAAAAAAAAAAACAATTGTAATAATGTTGCTGCAAACATACATGCATTTTCTTCACCATAAATTATATATTATAACTTTCAATTATATTATAATATGACATTTAAATTATATGTAATATTTAATTATATATTGTATGACATTTTCTTCACCATAAATATGATATTCTGTACTTCAAAAAAAAACTTTTAAAGCAAAATTATATGTAATGTGCTGTTAAACTTATAATAATTTTTGATTTATATGGATTTATATGGTACCTAAGGGTTAACCAAATAACTGAGTTATTAAATAAAATATAATTTTTATATACTATCAATTAAAACTATTAACATATTTACAAGAATGCCATCTTTTGCACTGAGAAGGTAAAATATTAGAACATTACCTAAATAAGTCAATTTGAATAATTAGTCAAAATGTCCTTTTTTTGACTTCCTACAAAATGTTCCTTTGTTTTCCAACTAAATGGTGGATAATTATTATTACTTTAACATTCCAAATGAGATTTTTATCAAACAACCTGAGCAAGAGACAATAGAAGTGCTGTGACAGTCTTGTCACTGCTGCTGTACATGTGACAACAGAGAAAACTGTCTTCTTGTAAGGCACTTCAATGGATTCTTCAATGTCTATATCTCTTTTGTTTTCTCTGATTCATTTCCTTTGTTGCAACACTGTTTTCTTGTACAACCCTTCTCCTTTGGTAAAATGTTGCAACAGTCTGAACGATGACTACAAATATAGGAGAAATGCAAATTTTACTTATTCACTGGGCTGCTGTGACACAGCTCTCTAATGCATACCAGCCTGTTTTGGTGATCACCGCTAAACACGATGTGATGACAGATCACTTCATCAGGTATGAACAACCTATACAAAAATATCAAATGTGGGGTGTCCGGAGAAAAACAAACAAACTTGAATCAGCAGGGGAAGACAGAGAACAGAATTGAAAAGAATACTGAGAGAAAATGTGATGAGTGCTCGGATTGATCTGACACCAGTTTGAGATGCTGACCTAGCGTGTTGATCATGCAGATTCCACACATATCTAGCGTGAGCAGGGTTTTGTAGATGGGCTCGCCGCCCTCGTGGTTCATGAAGAGGTGGTAGACCACTGAGCCCAGCTGCGGTGACAGGCAGGCCAGGAAATGCACCACGCCCAGCCACGTCACGCTGATCTGTGACCAGGGGATGTTGAGCGGGAGCAGCACCAGGAAACATAGCAGAGGGATTCCTGAGTGGAGAGAAAGAAACAACGAGACAGAGAGGCTCAGGAGAGTCACTGTACACAAGAAGAAGTAGTTGAAGCACTGTTGAAACACGCAAGACCTGTGAAGAGAACGAGAAGGTCGTTATTTGGCATTATGCTCAGGCAAGCCCTGCAGTGTTTCATCGTGTCCCTTGAGTTAAATGCTGCAGCCTAAACAACACATGGATTTATGGAGGCCCAGGGAACGGCCCAGCACAATGAGGGTCTCAGTGGCTTTGCTGTGCTAATTTTAGCAGCAGTTGCCAAAATGCAAACTACACACTAAAACAAAGGTCTTTAAAAGTCTTTAGCACTAAATGACACTCAGTGGCTTTTTACTAGTGGCTCAAAGTACACGAAAAGACAATCTTTTTGGACAATCTTCTTGTTGTTTGTGAATCTCTTTTTCTCTCTAAGCACCTGTCATTCCCCCAGTGTCAAATGATTTATCCTAGTCAGGTAAAAGCACCAATGCCTTCTAGCACATCTATTTTGAGTGAGTTATCTCTGTTGGCTTAACACTCGCTCTGATAAAGACACTATTGATAGAGAACATGCACTCTACCCATGCATTTGAGCTGCACCTACACTTTGTATGTACTGTAAATGTTATATTTAAAAAAAAAACTGTTTAATTGGCAATAATGATATTTAAAATTTAAATAATTTCCACCACATAAGACAAAATAATGTTTTGATAAATTATAGTTATGACAAAAAACAAATCATAATTATGACATAAATAGTCCAAATTATATATATATATATATATATACAGTGGGTACGGAAAGTATTCAGACCCCCTTAAATTTTTCACTCTTTGTTATATTGCAGCCATTTGCGAAAATCATTTAAGTTCATTTTTTTTCCTCATTAATGTACACACAGCACCCCATATTGACAGAAAAACACAGCATTGTTGACATTTTTGCAGATTTATTAAAAAAGAAAAACTGAAATATCACATGGTCCTAAGTATTCAGACCCTTTGCTCAGTATTTAGTAGAAGCACCCTTTTGATCGAATACAGCCATGAGTCTTTTTGGGAAAGATGCAACAAGTTTTTCACACCTGGATTTGGGAATCCTCTGCCATTCCTCCTTCATATTCAAGAGATGAAAAGTCATGATGTAAAAAGTCTGACTTTGTCATAATTTTAACTTGTATCATAATTACAATTATCATCATTTAACAAAGCATGAGGTGAAGATGAAAATGAAGATTCTATCACAATTTCTTACCCTTATGTCATTCTAAACCTGAATGATTTTTCTTCTTTGAACACAAAAGATGATATTTTGATAGATGTTGGGTCCCGCTGACATTTATTGTGTGGACAGTAAAAAAAAAATTTAAAAAACTTATATTGTGTCCCACAAAACTGGTTTCGAAAAGCATGTGAATAAATTTTTCTTCTTTTTTCAGTGAACTGTGCCTTCAAGTTTGTGGTTTATGTGCAAGTGTCAATCGTTTATTGCCGAAGTCTGCAATCAGATCATAGACCATTAGTGGCCATACAAACAGGTTAAAGTAGCTCACAGACCAGAAAACCATACAAACACATCAGCAAAAGTGGTTACACCCAGAAACAGACTAGTAATGATTATTAGTCATAGTCAAGTGTCAGGAATAGACTGAATCATCTTTAAACAGCAGATGTTACAGGTAGAAACCTAAGAACATCAAACGTTGCTCTGAAGACATGGCGTGCAAACATGGGATCCAATTGTGCATACATATCATGCAAAGTAAAACACAAATACTTGAACACAAAGCAAACACTGTGAAGGAACATGCACCTCGGTTGCGTTCAGATGCAAGAATGGAAATCGCCCCATGTAAAAAAAATAAAAATAAAAAATAAAAAGTGTGACGATATATGCAACACATTTTCATTCATCAGTCTTTGTCACCTTGTCTTACAAACTCCAAAAGGAGGTATTTTTACCAATTCAAACAGAATAAATGCCTCTTTATTTCAGCTTTGAAAAGGTGCAGGTGCAGCTCCCTACAGCAAAGTCATTTTTTGGGTCAAGTTAAGCTGTGTCACTCATTTCAAGCCTCTCATTTCTGCTTACTGGACTACAGTATAGGCCAGAACACTCTCAAATATACGGTGAACCACAGCGTTGGCTTGTGAACACACTCTGAGAGCGCAGTGCTCAGATGCAGTGTACTTCTCAGGTTTTCAGCAATGCACACCAGCGTGAATGTGTCATTTGCCATCAAAACAATATAATATATTACTAACAAAGTTTTACCAGTCCAAATGGCAGTTTCTTGGAAGGAAAGGGTATGTATTACAGTACACCTGCAGGCAACCACATGACCCAGCTTGATGGTTCCACACAGTCCTGCAATTTAGAAGCATTTACAAGCAGAAATTATTTTGGAGTTGACCTTTATGCCCGATTTGACATTTTTTACATTTCCTCTTAGCAACTGTTGCACTGGAATGCTTGTCTAGATACTGCTCACTGCAGCGGTGATATAAAAATACAGCACAAATTACTTAACGAGATAATTGATTGTTTGTCAATAACAAAAGGAGTTATGTATAGCAAACTGCAGATGTACACCGCAAGAGTGGGGATGGAGAGTTTCGTAAAAGAAGCAGATCTTTGCATTTCAAGGTGTAGCTATAATCATTCAAATGGATAGTTTTCAGAAAAGAAAAAAAAAAGTTATTTCTGTCATTAATCATGTCGCTCCAACCCTGTATGACTTTCTCTCTTTCGCAGAAAACAAAAGGAGATATTTTGAACAATCTACTGGTCTGTATTTTCCATTTAATGATGATTGAAAATGTCAACATTAAAACCAGGACACAAAATCACTTTAATCACAACAGTAATCCACAAGACTCATACACTATATTTCAAGTCTTTCAAGTTCATGAGAGAAGTAGCAAATTTGCTTAATGATTGAATGATTCATTTGAGTTCACTTATCACAAACTTTGCCACACTTCTGATGCTTTTTGAGGCTTGACAATGAATGGGGAAGATGTCACTGCATGAAAAAGACTGATAAGGACAACTTCAAAAATGTTCCGTTGTTTTCCCCAGAGGAAAGTCATACGCGTTTAGACCAACATGACTGTAAATAAATAGTTTTTGGGTGAACTATTCCATTAACATGTAGTTTTTGAAAAAGCCAGTAAGGTGTGCAGTTTACAACACACAGTGCTTAAGAAGGAAATATAGATCATCTGTGTCTGGTGTGGTATAGCAACATGGATCATTTAAATGGGGTTTAGACTATAGCTATGAATGGGTAACGTTAATACAAATGCAAATACTGGTAAGACCTAAGCAGCCAGGATGGGCAAAACTCATACTGACATGAGTGAAGTCATGCAATTTATTAATACTAATTCAAATCATTAGAATTATTGGTTAAAAAATAAAAACAATGGCAAAAAGTAAAGCATGTAATAAGCATAATAAAGAGAGGGGGCACTGTCAGCATCCTCTTTTGAAGCAGTAGGCTCTCTCACCCACCGTGTGTGTAGATGTTCCCCAGCTCATTGTGCAGATAGAAGAGACTCTTGATACACTCCTGGACGGAGGAGATGGGTCTATAGCCAGTCAGGACATATTTGTTGAACTGTAAATGTGGAGGAGAGTTTGCCCAGTCCAGCAGTCTGGGGCCGTTTAAAAATGCCATAGCAACCAGAAACAGTCACGACGACGACGCTAAAATAGCTACGCTATACATCTACACTTACACGCACAACACAGACTAAAAAAAGACCCGACACCCTAGACATTAGTCGGAGAAGTGCAGTCCGGTCAAGTGCAGCCAGCTACATGGCTAACAGACCTGCTGCTCTTTAGCCGAGACAAACTATTTTAAAAAGCAACTTTTGCCTCGGCGACGCTTTGTTTTGGAACGTTGGCGGCGGCGGCGTCATCCACATGGATTGACGTAGAAGTTCCAGGCTGCGTTCATAGTGAGCTTCGCTGATATATACAGTGCTGCATGTAACATTTAAACGAAGTGCGGTCACACCCTGCTCCAGCCTTTCACACAAACCCCACCAGCTTCTGTCAGCTCGACTTCAGATGTGACCCGAGGAAAGGTGGCTTTCGTTTGCTGCTCATCAAACAGCCGCCGGCTAATTTCACCATCGGGAACGGCAGGGGTTTCTTGAACGCGAAGCCGTGTGCTCGGTTCAGAGTAACTTCCTCATATTCCCGTAGACTGAATCATCACCATCATCATCTGTCCGTCCGGAGCTTTGGCATCCACTGATTTTTAAGCTACCAGCGCGCTGAGACCCCGTGTGTTGCAAGAAACTGATACAAAAGACTCATTTACTGGACCTGAACGAAGCAGGTGTATTTTTCTCTAAACAGACACACGTATGCGCTTAATATAGTGATGATACGACAATATTGCTTGGCACCGACCATAAGTAGTCACTAATATGCAGTACAGTGCCAAAATCGACATGACATCTCACGGGGTTCAGGGAGTTAATAGTAAAATATTCAGCTGATTAAAAAAGCACGCGAGTTTGATATGCAATATTATAGATAGATGTGTCAAGTTTTCCCCCAGAATGTATCAAGCATCTCCTGGCATCTGCTCCTGGTCAGCGACGAGCACTGTTATCCATTAAGTGCACAGTGCAAAGAAAAAGTGCTCTGCTTTTTCATTTAATCAATAACGATATTTCGATGTCTAACGCACTCGGTGCGTTTTCTGTTCCCCGTCTCACACTAACCGGATAGCTCGCGAGCTAACGGGCTAGCTGCCGTCACCTTGATTGTGCTGACTGCAAAAGCACACGAGCTTCCCAGTCAACGTTTTAGCAGCGGTTAAACATCACAACCGGTTTTCCCAAACAGCGGCACACGCATCCCCGCGACCCCCCATGCTCCGTCTAAGATATCTCCATCCGGAGGCTTGGCATTTGTCTTCCAGCGAACGGAGGAATGTACGGCGCTCCGCTCACAGGAGCACGTCTCCCCTGTGCTGCCAAGTGATGTTGCTGCTAGCTTGCAGTGATTTCATCCAGCAGAGTTTTAAACGAGCGCTTTGCTGAGGAGATCCGTTTCAGATAAGCGCCTATGCCAAAGCAAGGTTAATATCCCCTACATTCCCCGGCGCTTTTCTCACGAGCTGACTGATGCCGGTGTGCGGGAGCATGCGGCTGGTGGAGGGGCGCAGCGGCCCGGCCTTCACTCCTGATCATCCGCTGATGCTGCAGCGCTCTAATCCAGTCTGAACCAACTGGGACGAGCCGGGGGTGTGCGAGGACAGGAGCGATTCAATTTGTGCTTTTTAGATATTTTTTCTATTACAATATATATATATATATATAATTATTTTTTTAATTTTTTAGAATGTAGCCTAATATCAAGATTACATACTAGTCTATTTGACAGGCATTGTAGGCTATCTTATATTATGATAGTATTCTTTATAATGATAGCTCAAAAGTAGCGATGTCCGATTCAGAACGAGTCGGTTCTTTCCAATGAATGTGTTGAACAAAACCGAACTAATGATTCGCTTCTTAATGGAACTGAATCAGTCCGAGTGAATCTTATCGAGAATCGGCTCTTGTCCGATTTGCAATGAGCCTGTGAAAAATTACTTTAAATGAATAAAGCAAATAAACATGTTACGACGTAGGCTGCTGGACGTTTAGCTATGACTTTTAGGCCCAGGACAGTTTACTGTAGGCCTTTATTAAAATTCAGCCAAGACATTTAGGCCTACGTGAATTTTAGTAGCGTATAAGTTCATTGTAAATGCAAATAATATTTCGATTCTTGAATTTTAGTTTAAATTGCGGATCATGTCTGCATCTGAATTGGGAAACATTAAAATAGGCTACCAACATTAATTAAACACAGTCGAAAAGCGTAATGAACAGCAATTTACACCTACACATGCCTTTTTCCCCCCCTTTTTATTATGCAATAGAAGAACAACAAATACAATTACAAAGACAAGTAAGAACAAAAGACCCTACACATGCCTTTATTAAAAATGTTAGCTCGCATGGATGCCAGAAACCACATGATGATGACGTAAGATAGGCTAATCGCTGATTTTAACCGGTTCTTTGAAACGAACGGTTCAAAAGAACCGATTCGCAGAATTGAGTCGGACTTCCCATCACTAAAACTTAAAGGCAATAATTACAAGTATGAGGCTCTCTGTGGACCCCTGTCTCAAACTGCAGCACGTCAACTATAAATAGAGGTTGGCAGATGGCATAATGACATTCAATGATACAAGGTTGTGGATGATTATTTATTTGTGGTGCAAATATTTCTGTATTATTCTTTATAATACAATCTTTGTGTAAATGGAAATAATTTTTTTGCATAGGCTAAATCTGTTTTATTGGATAAAAGATTCAGTAACATAAAGCTGTTCACATGCTTAAGCCTTAAGTTGTTTTGTAAAGAGTTCATTCATCTACTGTATTTTGTTTCCTTGCACAGTTATTTTAGCACCATGCAACAGTACAGACTATAATCAGTGTTGGGGAGTAACTAGCTAGGCTACATGTAATGGAATTACGCAGTTTAATTATAAAATAAGTGTAACTGTAATCTGTTACAGTTACTGAGAAAAATGTGTAATTAAATTACAGTTACTTTTGAAAATGTTAACAATTACAAAGGGGGTTACATCTGAATATTTTTCACACACACATGCTGTACACAGATTTAATTTAATTCCTTTCCCAAATTGCATCGACTGCTCTAAAATATGAGACACCAATGTTTCAGGAGTTTAGGACACAGAATACGACACATGATTATTCGATAACCGTTTTACTTCCTATTTGGGATTATGTACATGCTTTATTTTTGAAGATTGTGTAAGGTTAACCCAGCCTGCTTTAAATGTTTTAAAATGATTTAAAGTTGAAAACATTCATTATTTATAAAAGTAATCAAAAAAATAATCAAATGTAATTAGTTACATGACTTTAATAAAGTAATTGAAATAGTTACACTACTTATTACATTTTAAATAGAGTAACATGTAATCTGTAACCTATTACATTTCCAAAGTAACCTTCCCAACAATGACTATAATGTATGCAGATTAAAATCTTTCAATGTTTTTGTATTTTAACACCCATGTGACAATGCAGCACAAGATAACATATACACCACAAGTCTAAATTAAAATTTCCAACCGCTATGTGAAAATGTAGTTGTTTTATGAGTCATGATGCCTACACCAAACCATGCAGACCACAGTCATATGATGACAAGTTTATCTGCATCTGGGCCTGTGACCTTTGTTTAAATCTGCAAACAAGTCGTTGTATTTTTTACACTTAATTTAAAACAAACTAGTGAACTGAGGTGATAATGTTCAAAATGGTTAAAAAAAACTTAAGTGAAGTTACGGGACCTAAGATACACAGTTTGCCTTATACATTAATTTTAGCATAAACTCATGCATTGTGTATGCATCAATATACTGTTTGCATTATTCACAGATCTGAATCAGCAGTACACTCATGCTAAAAAATGTAAAGCTTTAAAAACGAGTAAAAGCACTTTCATCCTGTAAGGGCTGTTTTAAGGGTCAAACATCTATGTTTAGAGTTTGATTTCTACAAAGCTTGCTTTTCAGGTCGTTAAATTTTGCATATAATTATGTGAATGTCTCCATTTCTGTGTTGGAGATTCATTGCATATCAACTTTTATGCAAATTCTGGTATAGGCACTTAATAGATAATGAGTCTTCTTTTTTGTGGTCGGTTTTGCGGAATTTAAACCACACCCCTTGATGTCAAGCAACACCTTTTGATACATTCCACCTTTTTACTCATTTTTTCACACATGATGAGTCAGGGACCATCTAAGCGTGAATGTTCTTGTACCTGTCCATTGCAGTGGTGGGACACATGTAGGACATAAATATGAGCACAGAACAGGTACTTCTCAGTCTGTGTTGGGCGCTCTCAGATTATGATTAAAAAGACCTTGCAGGTAAGTGAAAAAGAGCCTAAACTCACTCACTCAATTGTGAATCAGAGTTTATTGACTGATAATAATACCTAATATCTTCAAGCTATTTTTTGACACTGAAAATCTGATGATGCTGAGGCACTAACAGCATTAATACGATTCTAGCGATTTTGCATGGGAACAATATCATAGTGAAAGCTAAACTGCTCAAATCTAGCATGCCTCTAAAATGATTAATTCTGAAAACATTCAAACTTATTTCATGATTAGTACATTTCTACATAATGAAGGGTCTAGGATATACCAATCAAATCCTGCACAAAGATTTGGATTAGAACCAATATATGAGCAAAGAACTTTACAAATTAACATTTGCACCAAGGATAACAGTATTAATATTGTGCTCTATTAATCAGATTTTTTTTAACCTCATTTCTGATCTATGTATATCACAGCAGGATAACACCCAAACTCGCAATGATTCCTCTAGTTATCTTGTGGTGTGGGCTTCTTCTGTGCCTTCCTCCTCCAACCAGCCCGGCATGCTTTCTGGGTAAAGAAGCAGAGTGTCAAGATGCAAATTTCGTGCCAGGATCTGACTTGGCTGGAGAGGGTTTCGACATAACTAAGATGCAACGCCTGGGGACTTTTGTCATCGACATGAGTAAGTGGGAGCTCAAGAATAACACGTGTAACCTGTGCAAAAACCCATTCCTGCAGAACAAAAAGCAGAAGCTCCCGGTGTCTGTGATTTACTGGAGGGCCACCCAAAAATGCAAAAGGTCATTATCCAGCTCCATTTATGAGTCCAGTGAGTCCCTGGTCAGTTCCAGCACCTCCTCCGTAGAGAACAACTGGAAAGCCGGCCTGGGAATAGGCAACGCGGTAAGTAAGATGTCGCTGATGTTGGCTGGAACGAACTCCAAACTCGCTGAGTATTCAATGACAAAGACCAAAAAGGACAAGTTCAGCTTCATCAAGCAGTCTACATCCTGCAGATACTACGGGTAAGACTTAACATATATTAGTTAACTGCTGTGATGAATATCACGGTATGTGGGTTTTAATGTGCAGCACTATAAACTGCTGTCTTCAGATACAGCATTAGCAGCCGCTCTCCTCTTCATCACGAGCTAAGCTTTGAATTCACAAGGCTTCCAGAGACGTATGACAACCAAACAAAAGAAAGCTACTCGTCACTTGTTGAAAAGTTTGGCACACATTACATTGTCCAGGTAAGCCAAAATATATCAATATCAATGTGTGCTATTTCTCTCAGTCTATCACATATATGTCACTGTTGCTTGTAATCTGTTAGGTGAAACTCGGTGGAACAGTGCAATCTGTGACCAGTGTCAAACAATGCATGGCTACTCTACAGGACCTCAGTATGGATGAGGTCAAAGCATGTCTGGACGTCGAGGCATCTGCAAGTGTAATGGGGAGGATCAGCATAGACACTGCATACCGTCACTGCAAACAGAGCAAAGACAAAAGACTGAGCACGCACAGTTTTGCTAACAGTTTTACTGACAGGTTTGCGCTTTGACTTGGCAGAATGTGATTTAACTGAATTATCAGCTAAATTATTAGTTAAAAATGGCTAAACAATATAGTTTGATATAAATATTAGTTTTGTTTGTGTGTGTGTATAGAATTTTTAATAGTTTTTAAAATAATTTTTTATTTAATATTTTTAAATGTATATTTTAATTTATATTATTTATAATATAATAAAAAAAATTATTTATGGTTTACTTTTTGTATTAAGTTTTTATATTATATCATGTAATTAAAATTATACTTATAATAAGGATAATATTTTAATATTTAATAAATACATTTAATTGGGGAAAATCCAAATTTTAATAAATGAAATTTAATAAATGTAAAAATTTTGTGGGATTCACAGTTTAATATTTTTAATAGGTAGTACATTACTATAAGATAATATAATATAATATAAAATAATTAATACAATACAATACAATATAATATAATATAATGTGACCCTGGACCACAAAACCAGTCATAAGGGTCACTTTTTCGAAATTGAGATTTATACATCATCTGAAAGCTGAATAAATATTTCCATTGATGTATGGTTTGTTAGGATAGAACAATATTTGGTCGAAATACAACTATATGAAAATCTGGAATCTGAGGGTGCAAAAAAATCGAAATATTGAGAAAATCGCCTTGAGGTTGTCCAAATGAAGTTC